CTCATTTTACTGACCTTGGGAAAGAAGGAAGGAAGGAAGGAAGGAAGGAAGGAAGGAAGGAAGGAAGGAAGGAAGGAAGGAAAACACTTAGATTTATATACCGCTTCACAATGATTTATAGCCCTCTCCAAGTGGTTTACAGAGTCAGCCTCTTGCCCCCAACAATCTGGGTCCTCATTTTACCAACCTCGGAACGATGGAAGGTAGTGTCAATCTTGAGCCAGTCAGGATTGAACTCCTGGCAGTGGGCAGAGTCAGCCTGCAATGCTGCAGTCTCACCACGAACGTAATTTCAACGTAAGCGCAGTCGTAAATCCATTCTTTTTTCAGGGCCGTCGTAAATTGGAAGCCCCTAAACAAATGGTTGAAAGTTGAGAACAAATTTTTTTTTTTGCTTGTTTCTAATCCTGATGACCATCTGCAACTCAAGAGTTGTTTGGAGTGGAGCAGCGTAGAAATACCAGCAATTCTTTAAAAACTTGTTTTATAAGGAAAGAATCAAAGGAAATGCTTGATTGGGAATTCTCTCTTTTTTTTTCTCCCCTCCTGTTATAGCTTTAACCCCCTGCTCTCAGTCCTTGGCACTATCCATCAGCCCCAGCCATACCGCCCAATGGAGGAAGCAAATCTTCCGCCAGCTGTCGGAAAGGACCCACCGAGAATTGGACAATTTCAGACATTACGAACAGGCGGTGGAACAAGTAAAGTTGGGGGAAAAGACGTGATGGGGTTTTGTGGTGATTCTATAGTCCAAACTTTGGAACCAAGAACTCTTCAAAGGAGAGCTTTATAAGAGAGGATAGGATTTGGCCTAGTGGTTAAGGCACCAAGCTAGAAACTGGGAGGTGGGGAGTTCCAGTCCAGCCTTAGGCATGAAAGCCAGCTGGGTGATTTTGAGCCATTCACCAGGAGACTGTGAGTTCTAGTCCCTCCTTAGGCATGAGAGCCAGGTGGGTGATTTTGAGCCAATCACCAGGCGACTGAGAGTTCTAGTCTTACTTTAGGCATGAAAGCCAGCTGGGTGATTTTGAGCCAATCACCAGGAGACTGTGAGTTCTAGTCCCTCCTTAGGCATGAGAGCCAGGTGGGTGATTTTGAGCCAATCACCAGGCGACTGAGAGTTCTAGTTTTACTTTAGGCATGAAAGCCAGCTGGGTGATTTTGAGCCAATCACCAGGAGACTGAGAGTTCTAGTCTTCCTTTAGGCATGAAAGCCAGCTGGGTGATTTTGAGCCAATCACTAGGGGGCTGTGAGTTCTAGTCTTGGCTGATTCTGATGGAATGATATTTTTTTGCCTCTTCCAGTCAGTCTGGGTCAAAACTGGAACTTTACAGTGGTGGAGAAGTTGGAAGCCTTACCGTTGGATTGATGTGCAGGTCGCTCTGGAACAATTCACTGCGAACGACGGGACACGGGACAGCATTCTCTTCATCTACTACACGCACAACGAGGAAAAGAAGGTAGGCGTGTCCGCGCCGCTGGGGGGGGGGGTGTCGCACCCAGTCCTTGACCACAATTTGACATGTAAAAAAATGCAAATGGAAAAATAGGAACCATCTTTGGTGGGAAGGGAACAGCGTTCCATGCGCCTTTGTGTTGAGTCATGCCGGCCACATGACCACAGAGACATCTTCGGACGGTGCTGGCTCTTCGGCTTTGAAACAGAGATGAGCACCGCCCCCTAGAGTCGGGAATGACTAGCACAGATGTGCGAGGGGAACCTTTACCTTTTTATAGAAATGGTTGTGCAAAAGGGAAAAAGTTGAGGTTGTGACGTTGTTATTTCTACTGTGGTAAAGAGAGTTGGAAGTCAGTTCCTTTTTTTATTTTTCCTTTTTTCCTCTTTACTCCATATTTTCTCCTTTTTTCCCCTCCCCCCGCCTAGTTTTCTATGACTTTTTAAATGTTCTCTTGGTATTTTATATATTGATAAACTAATAAAAGCGCATGAAAAATGTCTCGGAAATAAACAAACAGCCAGGGGGGCCTTGAAATGTGCACATTTCAGGCGTGAAATCGCATCGGGAATGTGATTTCCAAAGGTGTCCACTAGGAAGCAGTATTGCCAAGAAGAAACTTTGCGGTGTGCAAAATGAAGCTTGTAACACATTTGAGCACTTTTGAGTTATTCTTCTACTTGAGTCATGCCGGCCACATAACCACGGAGACGTCTTCGGATGGCGCTGGCTCTTCGGCTTTGAAACGGAGATCAGCACCGCCCCCTAGAGTCGGGAACGACTAGCACGTATGTTACCTTAACGAAGATCTGATCTTGACATGTTCTTTGTGTTCTCCAGTACGTCCACATGTTCCTCAATGAAGTCACCATCCTGGTTGAGATTCTGAATGAGGCCAAACATTCCTTTGCTCTCTATACGCCGGAGAGGACTAAGCAGCGGTGGCCCGTCCGTCTAGCTACGAGCACTGAGCAAGAAATGCACGACTGGGTATGTTTAGAGAGATGTAGTTTATCTCTGTGTGCCTGTTGATAGCTAATTCCAAAGCTTAAGTCACACTCTAGTAGGATTGACCTACGGCCCCAAAACAGAATGCAAATTCTTCATTTTGGACTCAGTTTGTCGGCTGAGCCCAGACCTGGCCTNAGTAACTGTCCACTAGGACTCCAAGATCCATCTCACAGTTAGTACCATTGAGCGAGGAACCATGTATATTGTACCTGTGCATTTTGGGGTGGTTTTATTTATTTATTTTTTTGCCTAAATGTAGAACCTGACTTTTTTCACCATTGAATTTCATTTGGTTAGATAATTTTGTTAGAGAAAATGCAGGGAAGAACATTTAGAGAATGAGAAGCAGACTCGGTGGGCTGATCTAAATATTCCCCAGGTCCTTTTATCCACCTGCTAGTCGTTCTCAGGAAGAATGGAAGTCCTTCGATAGCTCTGTGTCTTTTTTTTTTTTCTAAAAAAAAGCTATTGTTTATCACTATTATTTATAATGTCTATTCCCTTTCTGCTTCTGTCACGAAGAGTATTATTTTTCATTCCTCTTCAAATGACTAGAGCCAGGGGAGACGCAAAAGCTAACTTTGACTATCAATACACTCTACCGTCGCTTTTTCTCGCCCACTTTTGCTGAGGATTTTACGTGATATATCCATAATTTATTAAATGCAAAGGAATCCTATTGCAGGGAGAGAGCCATGTTTCCTGTTCACGGTTAAATGGGAAACACTGATTTCATTTCTTTCTGCTTTGGGGAAATATTTCCTCAGCCTCTCTCCTCTTTTGAGATATTGTGTGATAAATCTTGATTCTTGCTTGTTCACAAATGGGGCATTAAAAAGGCCAACGATTACACAGGCGTTTTCTTCTTTAGAGAAGCATCAGATCAGTGGGGTTAGCCCTTGATTAACATGCTTCAAATGGATCATACACTGCCAATTTAGTCCACCATATAAACAATGTAGTCTAGTTTTGTTCAGTGAATCTCATTTTTAGCATGCTTCTGTAGAATAATAAAAACATGTTGGAAAGAGGGAAGAACTGGTTAGTGCTAACTCCCTTCTGTCTTCTGTATTTGCATGAATGTCTTTTTACTGCTTTCTCTCCTATTGCAATATTATCTTCATGATGTCTTCCTCCCTCCCTCCCTC